AGGCGCAGCGAAACGCACGAGGCGGCAAACGAAAGAACGCCACGAGACGCTTCAGATGAGTACTTTAAAGTTGAATTTTGAGGTCACAGGTCGGGTCAAGGTCAGGTCAAACACCCAAAATCGGGCTTTCAGTAGCATGGACTTCAGGACTTCGCAATGGGCGCCTCTCGTCATAAACTCTGTCAAAACGGTACACAATCCATCATATCAGGCCTACAAGAGTGTCAGCTCCATGTAGGGGTCAGTCAAGCATAGGTCAGGGTCAAGGTCAGGTCAACCGGGAAGGCACATATCCCCGAAAATCAAAACTGATATTCGCAGCCTGTGACACATGTTTTATGGGTAATTTAGGGCGTAGAACACGATGGTGACATTCATTTTATCATATGTGTACGTGTTTGGCTCAAAAAGTTCAATTTAAGAAATTCATGTATCATGGTCGTGAAGTAGTCACGAGAAATTGCCAAGATTCAGTTCAAGATTTTGGAAAATGCGGAACGATAATCAATAATCGAAGATAGCCATTTGATTGTTCATGGTATTGGCAGTCTAATGGCGTTTACGGCATGTCTGTATGTCTATTGTGTGATTTCATATGATTTTTTGAACTTATGCCGTTTTTGGTCGAAAACTCAGAAATCATGACGTCACTAAAACCTTGATATCTCAAAAATTTTCCGACCGATTTTTTTGAAACTTTGTCACAATAAACTTCAATCAATTCCCTACAGGTACCCAAAATTTGGCGCGCCTGCGGCGCGCCGTTTTTATGCTATGGCCCGGCGAAAAAAGTGGGGGCGTTTAACGCCCCCCCCCAGCAACTCGCGGGTTAAAGCTCTTTCGCCAACTTCGCCTCAGATATGACTTCGGGTCTATGGCTCATGTACCATAGAGTCCAAACAGCTAAACGGACGGATTTTGCCAAAACATTTGTTCTGTAACAACCTATGATTCAGTGAATGTGTATGATATTCATGTTATCACCATCGTTTTTGTTTCGTCGGAACACGTCGCATGGCTTACAATTTGAACTTAAAAACTTGAATAGAAAACTTGACATCAGGTAAAGGTCATGACCTGACCGGAAAAGAACCTGCTGCATATGGATCGATCTGTGTTACTGAGCTGAACACACTCCAGGTGCTGTCATCGCTCTACAACGTCTCCATCAAAAGTTGTTGTCGAAAATGTGTTAGAGACCTTTGATGACCTAATGACTGACCATTTCAGTCACCACTGGTCATTAGCTGCACCTTATCTCTAAAATGAACAAGGTGCCAATGGCTACAAAAGTATCTAGCGTTTTTAGCATATTCTTTCAAAGCAGAGGGCATCGTGCTTTTTCCCATATGTTATCATGATTGGTGAGGTCACACACCTATTTGACCTGACTTCTCTTCTCATATGTAAAATCCCAGATTCATGAACTGTTGGCACTTATATGTAATCCCATTCATTACACCAAATTTCAGACTTATAGGAGTCAGGAGATAATCTATAGGAATGACAAGATTGCAGTTTTAAGAGGCATTAAAACTGAACTTGACATGACATTGTGACCTGACCTCAGGTGACCTCTGCTTGATTTTTATGCACGATGCAAAATTGATGTACAATAAGATATACCGCTGCTTTCGCGACGCTGCACGCCGAGATTTTTCTCCGGGCACACGAAAAAACCGGGAGCTTGGCTAAAAACACCCCTACCCATCAAGACGAAGACCAGAAACCCGACCCCCCCACTCAAAAATCCGTGGCGACGCCCCTGCTTGAAGCACGCTATACGATCGCGAAATAAAAAAGATTGACGTAAACCGATATAAAGTCGCACGCGTGAGACTTCGCGGAGCGCGCAGCCGTCCGACGGCGCCTAATTCTGCGAATCGCTTTATAGGATCGGCGCAACTTCAGCTAAGCCAGTTAGCCAAATAACATATCCGCAGCCACCTGCTGACTGGATTGCCGCTTTGTGGGCTGCGGATTGCAAACTGTCTTACGACGAGCTTCGGCTCGGCGAGGCTTTGGATGTCCGCGAAGCCACACATGAGGCGTGGGCTTAGGAAATACGCCATTCGGGTGAAGAAGCCATATGACACTCCCCTGGGGTCACTCGGGACACCGTGAAGGTAGACCGGGAGTCGACCAAAATAGGAAACACCGCCTTTTCTTCAATGGTGAAAAACTAAACGAACAATTCCATCACTGAGTATCACATCATACAAAATGAAACAAAGGTGTTTCAAAGGTGACCTAGATTGTTGCGAAATGGCAATCAGGTAGAGTAGCAGTTATGCGTTGGAATTGGCCGCCGGCTTTTGAGCAGAAGCCACAATGGCGTGCTGCCTTACGCCGACCAGCTGTGACCGGCGTGGTTGCATGGCGACCAACGAGACCATTAACCCTCGCGGGCCCGGGGGGGGGCGTTTTTCGCCCCCCCTGGCGAATATTTGCGATAGCTCCCGAACGCTTAGGGATAGGAAGACGAAACTTTCAGTACCTTTTCTCCCATCATTTTGACATCTTCTGAAGTAAAAAATTTGAACCTAGCCCCCTTGATGACGTCACAAGGTCCATTTTTCTAGACCCCTGCACGGCAAAAATCGGCGTCACAGACGCAAGCTTCAAATAGCTGCTAAAAATAGAGTTTTAGAGATAAAGACAAATTACGAGCACGGCTGTGTAGCGTTTGACCTAGAGAAAAATAGAAAAATAGTTTTGGTGACCTGAGGTCAGAGGTCAGGTCAACGACCCCGAAATGTGGTTTTAGTTTTTCGCAAATAACTTCGACAAAAATGGTCCTAGAGCTACGGCAGTGGTATCATCGCATTCGCCTTGTCAAGCCGCGTCGAATGATATATATTTTGTTCGGAAAAGGTCAAGTTTCATGTTGACCTCATGTGACCTCGAATGACCTCTGGTTGACCTTGACACATGAAAGGTCTTTTATGATGGATTTGTACCCGCTGATCACGAATCTGGCATCTATTTTCCTCTAAGCCTTCATTTAGAGCTTCCCGATGGCAAAATTGTCTTATTTATTATTACTAACTTGAATCAGTGAAATAGCCTCTAGCAGGGATACTCTTCTGTGACCTTGACCTTTGAGCAGCATTGTATCGTAAGATGAACCACAAATAGGGAACTGATAAGCCTCAAAACATTTCAAAACATCTTGGAAGTTAGCACGCAAGATGTGCGAAAAAGTGCCAAGTTCGAGGTCAAATTTGAGCGTGACCTTGACCTTGACCTTTGATTTGGAGCACATTTTCAGAATCCTCAGATTCTCTTCTTTCGTTTGACACCCAATTTTGCCGGCTTGATGCCGCCTGCCGTCTTCTAGAAGGCTTACTTTGAGATCACTACACATGTGCCGGTTTTTTCCTTTGACCTTGACCTCTGACCTTGAAAATTGACCTGAGGTCAAAAATTTTAGGTGCATTAGAATCGTCTCGTAAGGACCTTTCGTTTGGTATCGCTTTTGTTTCCGTAGCTCCCTTATTAACGGAGTTAGACAGGGGGGGCGAAAAACGCCCCCCCCCCCGGGCTGCGGTGGTTGGGATTACCCCCCGGGCCCGGCCGGGTTAAATTAATGATGGTGTCCAGAAGCCCCCGGGAGGGAAATTAGCGATAATTTGATCATTCTAACCCACCTAATACGAGTAATTGCTCTGCTACTGCATGCAACTATTTACACTGAACTAATATGCAGGAGGCATCCTTAACAGAAACGTCTTTTGTATAGCGTGTCTCACCCTGAAAAAGTGCGAATATGCATTGAGACATGAGGCTGTCACGGCCAGTTGCACAGACGAGCCTACGAACTCTATGAAAAGCCTCAACTTTGAGGCTTTTAGTAGAGATATCCAGACTGTTCCTTGGTCCCGCACATATCCGTTGCTAATACACAAGCCGTGTGAAATGGCCGTGGGACGCGCATCGAATAGTGATGTTCAGACCAACGTTGCTACACAAACATCCTTTTCGGTATGGATAAGTGGATGTTACAAACAATTATTGTATATAAAACTGTCGGGTATGATGAGAATCCAAAAGCTCACATTAGCAGAAGTCTGACGCAACCACTGAATTGCTGCATCTCCCTGTCCTATCTGCAGCCTCGAAGCCCGCACACTGCGATGACGTGAGTCATCCCTTGTCACGTCCGCTCCAAAACAGGAAGACGGAACACAGACCTCATTCTAAACGCGCTTCACCACATCTTCCAGTCCATATCAGTCTGAACAGACGAGCTCTTGATAGCGCCGAATATCCACTGGCTCGTACCGCTTAAAACCAGTGCTGCGGTGCCTGATTCGTCCTATTTCTACAGCCGCGGCTGGTGCACCACAGCTGTCACAAGACTGCTCCCGAGTTGATTCCTTTCCGGGAGCAGCTTTGTGACGTCACTATTCCTAGAGTGTCGTTAAAACGGTACTGGTATCCTTGTGACCCATAATAAACGGACAGATGACCGTTCAAGGCCCCCTCCCGTGCAACGCCGCCTAACTTGCGTTAGTGCAGATTGGAAATAGCCATGTCCTGCTGCAGCGTTTCACTTCGTACTATATTTCAAACAGCAGAGGTCAAAAGGTGCGTTCGTCTGTAAACAGAAATGATTTCCATTCACCGTTGCCAGGGCCAGTATCCGCTGGGAGCTTCAAGGAAGTTCTCTTTCCAGAGGGCGGAAATCTGCACCCACTGCAGACTGCACGGAGCTGACATCGGTAGGTACTGCGTGAGCCTAGAGAGTCGTCGGCCTTTTTCAAATAAGGATATCAAATAAATGTTTATAGTTATCGGTGATAAGAACACGTGACGGATGCTTTTTTAATGCGATAGTTATCGTTCCAACCTAAATGATAACACCCGATTAAAAGTGAATTGTAGTGTAAGTTTATCAAACTGGCGTACCAAAACGATTCCTTTTGATTGTGACAAGAAGCCGCACATTGCGCTACAATTTCTACCGATTTGGTGACGGCTGATCATGTGACACTCACCGTTGGTCAGCTGGTGGACGCCCAGTTTGACCTGGGAGAAGTTGCCAGTGCCGAGGTCACCATAGAACCGGTACAGTCCCACGCGCTTTCCCAGGGTCAGCTCCTTCATTAGCCGCTCATCGTTCCGCAGCTGATTGATGAGCCGTGAGTAGGGCGTGACCTGACTCGAGGTCAAGGTCAGGTCACTCGTCAGTGACCGGCCATTAGCTGTGAAAGGAGAAATAGAAGCGGCGTCAGCTGTGATTGGATACGTTTCGACAATGGCTGAACGCTGCAGTCAATGTGTTCAACAGGAGTAAGGCAATGGGTTGCGGAAGTTGGCGGAAATCGTCGTCCGGGTCGTTCGATAGGACGTGAATAAATGACGAGGGAACCAGCCTAGTGCCGCTACGCTCAATAATTGCTCGCCGGACATGTATAAACTATTCACTGTCAGGATACTGGGGGCAAGGGCACCCTTCCAAGGTCTACCCCTTCTCCCCCTCTACTAGCCCCTGCATTTGACCTTGGCGTGACCCGGGAAAGAAACGACTCAGAGTTACGACCAACAGCACATAATTGACACTGAAAGCGTCAAATGGTTAGCTGAAAAGTCTGCCGTAAAGCCAAAGATCGCGTGAAAATCGGGATGTTGAATTCGAATGAAGTCGTGTATAGTCCAACCACACTTAGTCGATTAGTTTGGGAAATTAAGAATGTTTCCAAACGGACGACAAGGCTGATTACAAGATCGATCACTCGAGCTACACGTGACGTCTTTATCGCCAAGATTACAAATCGCAGGAACTGCTTTAGAAGTCCGATGTTGTATGCACGAAGAGATGGCATGACAAGTAAAACACGGCATAAGTAGACTTCTGCCGGTATTCGAGTGTTGGACTGACGTCCGGTGCCGACTTTTAACCATTTGCAAACAAGATAATGAGAAAACCGTGCGAAGATAAGCTGCTTATCGTGTGTTCGCCTACGGTAGCCAAGAGAATCTGCTGGTAAGTGGAAATCGTGATAGTTCTCAAAATGAGTACAATCCGATAAGGCACAAAAGCCACATGAAGGAAGGTTTACAAACAGGTGAAATAAGGCCTCTACATGACTGTAAAGCTGGCATAAAAAGTATATCTAACGTACAATGTAGGATGTATATATTAAATAAACAGCACCAAATAAACGTATGTACGAAAAAGAGATGTGAACGTTCTTTGACATAAAGCACAAAGACGATGATTGGAAATGGACCAACAATTCCCCGATCATGGGCTGATGAAATGAACAAAAACAACTCCTTATCTTGAGAAAAGATAAACGCCATTCGCCAGACAAGCAAAACAGTAAACGACTGGATCCATGGACTCACTGTAACCAACTGGCTCATTCGTTATTTACCGTTAGGGCCGGCGAACAGAAAGCAGGCGTGTTGGGTTCGGCGGCTTCTGAACTGGCTATCCATGCCGCTGTGTCACCGCTCGGCTTCCGCCCACATACCGACCATGAGAGTCGGTCCCTGCCCTGGGGCGTTCTGTAAGTACCACCGTGCCCGGCGCGGCAGCCGCCGGCGGCGAGCGCCCTAATCACACTGACAGAGACGCCGTCTATCCCCGCCGCGTGCACGCCGTCTGTGCACCGCTGTGCACAGAGTGACGTCACGGGACACGCGCTCGGAGACAGAGAGAGCGCGAAGGACGACTGAGTCGGCTGCACGAGCCAGGTGACGGCAATGACGGGAGACCGGGGACGTTTTTAGCAGAGATGACAGCTCTGCGTGGGCTGGGATCGGTTCGGGGAATTTGCGGCGCGAGGAACAATGATTTAATCGAGTTCCGTGTTGAGAATAATCGGTCTCGAAAGCGAGATGCATAAATGGAAAGCCAGGATGTGAGGGCATCACAGTTGGCCTTTATTACATGTTTGAATCAGGGATAGCCATAATAAAAGGAGCCAGGAGGCCATGCCCACATAAAAGTTACGTTGGATCGCAGTTTTATTCTTTATTGTAATACAGTAAATGGAAAGGCCTGGGTGTGACTGGTGAGTCTTGGACAGTCCGAACAAAAGGAGGATGCGTTTCATAAAGCTGGCGGCGGATCGCGGCCATCAAACTACAGGTGGGGAAATATGTACATATGTACAATGTCGTGCCAGCGCCGACCCCAAATCCCCGGCTCCGCCCCCACCCGCCGGCAGCGCCGTCACTCACTGTATCCTGAAACGGACGTACTCACTGTATCCTGGATCCTGAAACTGAGGTACTTAATGTATCCTGGATTCTGAAACTGACAGGTACTCACTGGACCCTGTATTCTGAAACTGACATACTGACTGGATCCTGGATCCTGAAACTGATGTATGTACTCACTGGATCCAGCGCTGATGACGTTTCTGGCGCGGTCCGTGGCAGCGCTGACGTGCACCTTAGCCGACGGCATTTCCCTGCCCCAGCCAGCGCACGCTGAAAAGGCAGAAACATCGGTTACAGGTCTGAGAGAACGTGCCACGAACGTCAACAATGCCTCCCGACCAGCTCCGACAACCTCCAACCGCGATAGCAAAACAGCTGAAGTATAGGCAAACAATTAACAATTATGATGAGTTCGCACTTCCTGGCTGCAGTTGCTGGGTACAGTTGAGAAGTGCTAAAATAGCCGACACAAGTGTACTCGTGCCGTATGACAGAACACTCGGGCCTTTTAGCTCTCAAAACACGGCAGTAAGCAGTGAATTGGCATCGGCTCCCTCTAAAGTGTCCTAAGTGTCAGCCCTGCGGCTCAGCAAAACGATTTTCCGCTGCCGTACCCAACTGCTGCTGAGTTCTGCAACATCTTGCAAACTTTTGGACAGTTGTGGCGACTTTTTGTGCCCCTATTCACTGATGTGTTTTTAAATCAAGGTCGCTTGACTCAACACAGATCTGATGACGAAGCGTTTGATCATTGCCCGCCGTTAAGCCGAATGTTTTTGTTATTTTTCGTGCATTGAATACTCCCAAAATATCAGCTAACGCAAGAGCAAGATGCCTTTATTATTTTCGGGTATGACGCCGACAGCCGATTCCCTTCACCTGAATACTCTAGGGTCTCTAGGTAGCTGCACTGGGAGACGCACGCAGCGGCAAACGATGACTCGCGAAGAGAAGATTTTGATCAGTCCTTGAAACCTAAACATCCCAAAATTTGTTTCATGTTGCCTCAAATAATGACTGTAAGCATTTTGATGCGTATGTGGGCTGTGGCAAGCTTATATAAACACCTAATCCCTCTTCCCTCCCCTCCCCTCCCCTCCCCATCCCCCACCACCACCATCTTGTGCGTGGACTAAAAGAAAACGAAACATCAGAATCCGTATGACTTAGTACAGCTATCATCATCATCACCATTCATCATATTTATTCAGTTTCGCTTGTGCCATAACAAACAAAACGTCAATAAGCATAACACTTGCGAAGCCTAACTTATAGGCGGTGAGATGCAGTTGCCCCGCAGGACAAACTTCATACTGTCCGCGAGGTCATTCGGCATACGTGCGGCACAAACGCGATCCGAGTCCACAACTTCACGAAAAACATTGTTACAAATAAGACGCTAATATGTAGACGTCATCCCCCAAGTCAGCGTGAAAAGCATCTATATGGTTTAGCTATCTTATTCGCAATAACATAACAACATGAACCCATTTATTTACATACAGCATAATACACGTTGTTGCGGGCGCAGGCGTGTCGGCAAGGCAGCATCCATCAATTTCGGCATCATTTCTCTCAACGATAGTAACTTCTGAACGAAAAAAGCAATGACGACTTCGTAAAACACAACGATAATGAAGTTCCTCTCATGCGTAGTTGATATTTACGGTAGATTGTTGGCGAAGGAGAAAACAAATTATTATGTTTAATGTCGGTGTAACATTTCTGTCAAGCTGCAACGGCATCCGATGGGCTATATTTTGTTCAACTGCTGTTTCCGATGCATGTAATTGTACAATGTACATAGGTCTATACGATGCATTGATATATTATCAAAAGTCTATATCTATCGACAAGGGCTATAATATTTTCATCTTCAAAGCATAACATAATCACACGAAGCATATGTCTAAGCAGAGCGACCTTTTGAAGTCGGACCGCTATGAAATCATTGACAAGCACAAGACACGGGCCACGACCGATCACTTGTTTATGCCAGTGTGGGGGCACGTGTTCCCAAACGTGACAGCCCGCGCTTATCGCCAGCGCGGTTGTTTTTCGGTGGTGTAGTTGGTAACCGTTTGGTGTCCTTGTGCGTATGTCAATCACGCGCACTGCAGCTAACGCATTCCGTGAACAGCTCGAAAATCACTGCCGAGAACAGTTCGAAAATCACTGACTATAGAGCAAAGGTGTGTGAAAATGGATTATATTTTCATTGAAGGCTGCTACTGGCTGATAGGGATACATTCGCCAGTGACGGTCATTGGTATGTTACAAGTTTGCCATTCCATTGATATAAACAACTTCAAGTAATAAAATTTCAAGCAAAACAAATTATCAAAATAAAGCAAAACATCATGTAGTAATAGGAGGTCAGTTTTATCAGCAGGAAAATGACCCCTATGTACATATTTTCATGTTCATTGCATTTCTAAAAGTCTAAAAAGTATTTCCATTTCAAAAGTGTCCAACAAATTTGAACAACTGCGTGAAAAAAAGTCGCTGATCATCATCAACATCAACATCAACATCAGTAAGGCTGGCTTATATTTTTTTTCTAATCAGCGGCAATTTTTCGTGTGCTTGGTAAAGTTCGTGGCGACTTAACCCTATTAGTGGCAGGGGGGTTGTTTTTATCCACCCCTCAGGTTTTTCGGGAATATCTCCGAAACCGCTGAAGCTACGATGCTGAAATTTTCTGACTTTTCCTAAAACTAAATTGGGCACATTCCCTGAATTTCAAGTTCATAACTTTACCAGGGGCGGCTCCAGAGCACTGGGAATTGGGGGTCCTATTCGTGAAGCCAGTCATTTGGGCGAATATCACGATGCTGATGTATTATAACTGTTACGGAATTTAGTGAACGCTTTTCTTGGCAGCGATTCAACGACTATTTTTTTAGCAGTGGTTTAGTGTTTCGACGGTCGTCGACGTGGCCTGAGAAATGTGAGGTGGTGCGCAGGAATCGTCTGATTCAATATATACGCATTGAAATGGCTTGAGCCACGTGTCTCCAGGTCTGTGTCGGAGATTTTTCGGATTTATTTGAGAGTTGAGAGTTGAGTCAAGTTGAATTGTCAACATTTTGGTGCCGAAACTGCCCGGGAATATTTACTGAGTTGTTCTTTCCCGTTTCCAGTCTGATATCGAGTATGGCGGAGATAGAGCGCTTGAAGCGTTCGAGGAACGCCGCCCGAGGGTGGCTGAATCGTGCAGGCGAGTCCCTGAGCGCCGCGCTGACAAGCAAAGATGCAAAGCAAAGTGACGCACAGACAAGCAAAGATGTGGATCTTTTTGAACTGGAAACCATGCTTGCTCTCTTTGATAGGAGGATGTGTAACTTTGAAGCCGCGCAGACGGCTCTTGAGTCGGAACAATCTGAGGAGGACACCCTGTCCGACCAGTCTTCAGGGTCGTTGGACCAGTTGATCATGTTGAGAGCGAGGGCCATGAAACTGCTGGCAGTCCACCAAGCAGCACCAGCTTCTGGTGCTGGGATCCGAGGTGAGACCCCCAAGCTACCGAGGTTGGACCTGCCCCGTTTCTCTGGGAAACCCCAAGATTGGCCTGCATTTTGGGAGGCGTTTTGTGTCGCAGTACATGATTCGAAGTTAGCAGATGTCACAAAGCTCACCTATCTGAGAACGTTGCTGGATGGTGAGGCGAAGAGATGTGTGGAGGGGCTCGCATTGAGTAGCGAGAGTTACAAGATAACATGTGATCTTCTGCAAGAGCGGTTTGGACGCAAGGATTTAATAATATTTTCTCATGTGCAAGCTCTCCTCAACCTTGATCCTATTCCTTTGGACAAGCTCCGTGACCTAGTAGATATCCTCCTCATCCACATCAGAAGCCTGGAAGCCCTCGGCATTACAGGAGAGTCCTATGGTGTCCTTCTAAATCCTATCATCCTTTCCCGACTACCCAATGCTGTCCGCCTGGAGTGGGCCCGTGAAGCCGAGGAGAAGGAGGCTGATCTTGATCATCTCATCGGGTTCCTGACGAGGGAGGTGGAGCGGCGAGGTCGCTCTGGTGTCTACGTGGGACTGGCTGGTGCTGGAGCATCATCTTCATCTTCACGAGCCAGTGGTGCCGGCGCTTCTTCACGGGCTGGTGGTGCCGGAGTCTCCGCTCGGGCTGGCAGTGCCGGCGGTTCTTCATCTTCGAGAGGTGGGGGCAGCCACCCTGCTGTCACTAGCCGGCGCCCGTCTGTGTACACGGAGGCGCGGGGCACCGGCCCTGGTCTACCCTCCGGGGCAGCTCTGCACTCATCTGAGCTTAAGTGCTCTTTCTGCGGTAAGGGACATGTCTCTGAGAGATGTAGAGTGTTCCAGCGTCTGAATCTCCGTCAGAGATTTCAGAAGCTTCGTGAGTTGTACGCATGCTTCTCATGCCTTGAGGTGGGCCATCGGGCCACTGATTGTGGTAGGATGTGTGATCGTTGTGGAGGTAACCATCACCCATTGTTGTGCATGGGTAAGAGTGTCGGAGTGCCATCCCGTGTAGAGGTAGGTGGTGTGGAGAGGGAGCAGACAGCTGCTCTGCCTCAATCTGACTCTAGTCAGACTCAGAGTCTCAGTGTGGTGGCTGATGCAGCCCCGAAGGGAGGGCCCCAGGGGGGTGGAGGTGCGTCACTGTCATGTGATGGAGATAAGAAGTGTTCTGTGCTCCCTGTAGCAAGGGTGCTGGTGCAGGGTCACGGGGGGAGTCTTGTTGAGGCCAACCTTCTGTTGGATTCTGGCTCAGACACTACTTACGTGAGCAGTGCGCTTGTGCGCAAGGTGCAGCCGCGTTGGTGTGGCTCCACGGAGGTGGGGTATGCAGTGTTCGGAGGAGGAAAGGTTCCCAGAGCCACCCGTGACGTGTATGAGCTGAGTGTGAGTGGTTCACATGGTTCTGTATCTGCCCCTCAGAACCTCAGAGCTGTGGCGGTTCCAGCCATATGTGCCCCCCTCGCGCGTCCACTTCTGCCGGCCTCTGTTCTGGATCAGCTTGATGGTGTAGTCCTGGCTGACCCGCTAGAGAGTGAGAGTCTGCACATCGACATTCTGGTCGGTGTTGATCAGTTCTGGCAACTGGTAAGTGGGGAGACGCGAGTACTGCGAGAGGGTATGGTGGCTCAGAGAACTGTGTTCGGCTGGGTGCTGAGCGGTCAGGTGAGTGGCGTAGATGACCACAAGGGTGGATGTCAGCTCCTGTGTCTGGGTGACATACATGAGTCGGCGCTGCGCCGTCTGTGGTCACTGGAGGGAGTGGGTGTGACGGA